CTTGGAAATGCTTGGAAGATCGAGCAACGCAGGGTAATCAAAGAATTTTGCAAGGCGCCTTTATTGATTATGACGGAATCGTCTTCAAAGATTACATCAAATTTGAAATCTGGATCCTCTAGATCCGACAGGGACGACTCAGAACTAGACTCAGAACTAGACTCTGACTCGGTTTCAGACTCGGACTCAATACAGGACTTGTTTACAGAGTGAGGTACTAGGTTTGACTCGGGAGGGGGTTCGTCAGCAGTGCGCTCCTCCTCGGCGTACCAATTGTCAAGAGGTCCTTCGCTCGGCTTGATTAGGTTGAGCAGGTCTTGATTCCCACCATTTCCAGTGATAACTGCAACCTCATCAAAGAGATTAGGCTGAATGAAGTCTTCTGCCTCCAGCTCAGTTACTACCTCGGGCTTGTTGCCCCAAACATCCGAGAATATTTCTATCCCAGGCAGCATCTTCTTTTCTAGGATAGCTCGAAAGGATCGATCAATTCCTGGTCAGAGACAATAGCATTTACCCCGTGATTTGGTAAGGGATTCGTGCTAATGTTTGGTTTACTTCTAGGGATGATTGAACCGTCGTCTACCAGGTCTACCAGGTCTTGGATACGGTTCTTAAGCATCCAGCACGCTTCAGTCTCGTGCCCATGACCCTGATGATATTCACAGTATTCATTGGTTCGGTAGTTTCTTGGTAAAGGGTCGGGCGGCGGCCTTGCTTCCAAGGGCTTGATGTAGTTGGCCCTGACGGCCTCTCGAAAAATCAAAAGGATTGACATCCCGAGATCAGTATATGTCCTTCTTGAGCGATTGCCATTTCTCATATTACCCACGCGTAAAGGATTCGTGGGGGTGATGCTTGCCACTTCATGGACTTTGCCAGCTTGGCTAGGTTTCTTGTATTTTGAGGAACCCGAGTCTTCTTTTGAGGAGCCCAAGTCTTCTTTCAGCTGCCCCATTTGAATTAAACCCTCTACCTTTGTAGCAGCGACAATGAGCGACTGGAAGGTCGGTAAGTATTGGGTTTGTAATTGTTGTTGGTAGACAGGCTGCAGGTTCTTTATGATTATGTCTACCTATTCTTGCTTAGAAGGCCGGTTGATCATTTGGGCGACCTTGGTCCTTTTCCTCGTAAGGAACGAGGGAAAGGGTTCATTGTTTTTCTTTTTGGTGGTTCTGTTTGGTGGTTTCCAAGTTTTTTTTCTTGTTCCTGAGCCTTCCGTCTCAGAAGGCAGTTTTGGAAGGTAACGCCCATCCAGGTTAAGGGAGGGTTTGTTGTCCAGGTTCAGGGTAGGGTTTGTTGGCTCAGCAGCAGGACCCTGATTGGAGGCAGCAGGTCCACTTCCCCCGGCCGAAGCCCTATTTCCATTACCATTGTCCAGCTCAGCTATCAGGGCAGTCCTTTGGGCAGCCAATGCCTCATTCATTCTGGCCTCCATTCTGGCCTCTAGCTGTTCGATGAGGGTTTGGATATCAGCAAGTGATGCCATTGTGTCACTGAGTGATGCCATTGCCGCAGGTGAGGTTGTTGAAGTTATAGGTGAGACTGGTGAAACAGGTGAAGTTGGTGAGAGTACTGTTGGCGTGGCTGGCACTTGAACAGGGGGTACCTGAAAGTATAAGGGTAGTGGGATTAGGTATAGTGTTCGGTGTATAAAGTGGGTTGACTCCTTGTCCAACTGTGCATGATTAATGGTAAAAGAGTATTCTCCGCCCCCTTTGTGTTTTACCCCATGCTTATGATATGTCGTGAATGCGCATGTCAACACGTCATAATCTTTTCCATGGTATGGTTCTTGTCATTGGGTGCATACAGTCCTAGAGGGCAGGTTCTATAGGCTATGACACGAATAGAGAATCGGTTTATAAAGGGACCCTTGAGCCTTGAGCATGGATATACCTAACCACATGTGAAACAAAGAGTTTCGCGTGGGTCCAACGGTAACGGTACGCATGCCCATGGGGCCATCCCCAAAAAGGATTAGGGATGGTTTTCGGCAACAGGGAGGACGCTTTTGGCTGTTCCGTACGACATGAATCAAAGAGAACCCTTGCCGATCAGCGCGTACTTGGCTATCCAGACTCTGAAAGTTTGGACAGAGAGAGAAGAAATTCATTTGAAAATTTTGTTTTTTATGGGCAAATGGAGAAAAGATTCTCAATTCGTGAAAATAAATCAACAAATTAAATATGTTTTATTTAAGTTTGTACAATCAAGTTCAATTCTCCTTATCCCGCAATCTTAAAAGAAAGAAATACTGGAATTTTTTCTGTTGGGGTACCCGCAAACAAAGCATAGTAAATAATACCCTAAAGAAGGGCAGGTTTAGTTTACACAACAATGTAGTCCTTCTTTTAATGCAAAAAGAATTGCATAATTCCCCAGCATGAGTCGCCAAACTGTTGAACCCCTACCCCCGAATATCATAGCTATAATGCAATGTGACTAAGGCAGAAATGCACGTGAATGTATGAGTCGCCACCCTTGTTTTAATTGGTTTAGGGTAAACTAGGTAAAAAACTCCTAAGTGACTCCAAATTTTAATTAACCTAGTTACTAGATTAATTATTCCCCAATGTTTAAGGCATGGTCTATCGAACCCGAGGTGGATCCTCGAGACTCATGTCATGCTGAATGAAACTAAACCAAGATGAATGCTTTGCAGGGGTGAAAGATGATGTAAATTGGGACCCATGAAAAATGTTTATGTGATTTTAAACTTGCCGCCCGGGGTTAAATCCCAAACGTGCCTTACGTACTTCCGTTTGAATGGAAGATCAAAGGAGTCAACGTAGTTCCGATAGGCCTCTTTTGAGGGCTTTGAAATGAGGATGCTTTTGTTTTAGGCATTTGTTGCCAAAAGGTGTTTGATTGGGCAATTTATTGCCAAAGATTGGTTAGGCGATTTGTCGCCAGAGTGATTGATTATGGGCATTTGTGTCAAAGGGGTTTTGTTGGGCGATTTGTCGCCAAAATGATTAAGGCATTCGTGCCAAAAAATGATTAATTTAGGCAATTTATTGCCAAAGAAAAGTGATATTTGGGCGATTTATCGCCAAAAAAAAAGTTGATTGATTAGTTGAGGCAATTTATTACCAAAACGTCGATTCAAGCAATTTGTCGCTAAAAAGTGGTTATTTGAATTATAGGCAAGTTGAATTAATTTTAAGGCAATTTTGCCAAAAGATCGATTTAATTGTAGGCAACTTGTTGCCAAAACGTGATCAATTAAGGCTTTTAGCCACAATTATTAATTAATTGGACTTAAGAAGGATTTGTTTGAAATAAAGGCGATTACACCATAGCTATTAATTAACTAGGTGTTTTGAGCCAATATTGTCGGAGTTAGGCCTTAATACCGCGATTATTAATTAATCGGGCATTTAGCCTAAATTTATTTAATTGAGGCAATTTGTCTGCCTAATGATGGCATGGATGCATTTATGCAGTTGTAGAATTATTAGGAGTAGAAAAGAAGCATGCATGACGTGCTAAAATTAAATAGGCAAATTAAATAGGCAGAGTTTCAGTTCATGTACCCTGATTTTAATCGTCGACGCTTCTTGAACTCGCAAGGTTAAAGCTTCCTCGTTAAGGGAATTAATTTAATTTAATTTTTTAAGTGACCAAGTATCACAACATATAAAATCAAACTAAAATTAAAAAAATGCAAGAAGCAAAGAATCGCAAGGAGCGTAGGGAGAAGGAGCGTCCGTCAACACAGACTGAGTCCCTCAAAACGGAGCCCCAGAGCCGCTTTTTATAGGAAAAAAAGTGACCCCGGGCGCCCCTGCCCGCCTTCGAGGGCGGGCGTACCCGCCCGGGCTGGGCGGGCATGCCCGCCTGGCTTGGGCGGGTGTGCATGCCCATGCTGGGCGGGCGTGCCCGCCTGGCCTGGGCGAGCATGCCCACCCCCGCGGGCAGTCATGTGTGCCTTCTCTTTTTTTCTTTTTTTTGTTCCGGAGGCTTTTCCGGGAGTTCCGGACCTCCAAAAAATATTCTGAGACCAGTTTCGTGATCCTCGTAATTTTTAATGGGGTATTCACAGGCGACTTGCAGCCGCTTGCCGCCCGGCCCTGCGGCGATAGCGTACCGCCGCCTTTTAAGGCGGCCGCGCACGCCGCGGCCGGGAAAACGGGCTTTTTTGAGCCCTCAAATTTAGGTATTCACATCAATGGCAAACTCGATTTTGGGTTAAAGGCGGCCGCCACCGCCGCGGCCGGGAAAACGGGCTTTTTGAGCCTCAAAATTTAGGTATTCACATCATGCAAAACTCGATTTTGATTTCTTAATTATGACCCAGATTGTTGATTCATTTAAAAGAAGCCGAAAACCTAGTCCCCGAATCCAATGATTTGAGGCTAGTACATTTTATCCAAAGGCAAACTGAAAATGGAGTCTAACACGGAGTTTTTTCGTTAATCTTTTTCCCGAAAATAAAAACAAATTAAGGTGACGACTCTCATACCTCAAAGCGCTCCAAAGAGCCAACCTGACATGACATAAGCAATAAACCAAGCCATAATTTGACCTAATCAAACAAAAAAGGAACCATGAGGAGTTCCTCCCAGTTTCCGTGACGAACCGACCAATAGGCCTGTCTAGATGGAGTTCGTCCTTTGGATCTCTCTCCTATGGTGCTCAGAAGGGGTTTCACAGAAATTATTGTAAATTTAGTATAATAAAAATCATTTTGTAAATGTATTTTACAAGTGTTCCTTGTAAATTATTATAAATTCACAATAAAATGTACTATGTAAATTATTACAAATTTAATGTAAATTTATACAGTTATTTATTATACAAATTCACTCACTGCAAAGAAGATCACCCCAGCATGGGGCGCGCTTATAGACCTAGTTCCCATCTAAATTGGTAGGAGACGTTCTTAAATTACTTCTACATTTGTAAATGATCTTACATGACAGGAGAACATAACATAACATAATAACATGCCAGACTTGCATTTGTCATAATTAAGACAATGCATTATATTTGAATTTCACATGGAAAAAGGCTGATTCCATTCAACAAACAATTACAAATATACAACAAGTAGAAGAATGATTAATTTGTATGGATAACATTGACACCCCAAATCAATTTAAAACGCAAAAAAAATCATCCAAGTAAATGAAAAGCTCAACAGCAAAGGGGACAAATTATGAGACCATTCTCATTACAATCCTGGCATTTCCTGGACAAGCCATCATCTTCTTCAATAACTCTATGACTGCCATTGCAATTGAAGCAAAGCACAAATCTAAATCCAGCACATCCTTCACATGGTCCCACGGATTGATCTATTGGAACCCCTTCAAACAGCAATTTAAGCTTCCCTTGCTCATGTAACCCTATAACCTCCTCTGCTCCACCTATGTATCTTCCTTTAATGAAAAGCCTTGGAGGCATTGCCTTACCTTCCATAACGTTCCATAGCTCTTCTTTGAACTCCATATGCATTGATACATCTCTCTCGTAGAATATAACCCGAAAACTCTCTAAAAGAAACCGAACGCTGTTACAATCCTCAAAAGTTTTTCTTATTCCTTTAAGTGTTGTCGTGTATAGAATTACCGAGTCATTACCTCCTGGAGGGCACTTTTCTTCGAACCCTGATAAAGGGTTTTCTTCAATTCTACGGGCTTTTAACGGCGGCTCCTCTTCGCATTTTTCCAGATTCTCTGCTTCTTCCTTTATTCTTTCAAGATTCTCTTTCTCAATTCTTGCTCGTCTCTCTGCTTCACTTATCCTTGCATGCTCTTTCACTGCTTCTTCAAAGGCCGCAAGAAGATTGGGGTCAAATAGAGTACCGGAATTCAAATCCGGTCGCCGGTAAGACAAGATGTCAATCTCTGACAGTGGTGTCTGTTGTTGTCTAAAAGAATTACACTCCATATTATGATTTTTCAAACCTACTGTGTCTTTTTGCTGCTTGAATGATGGACCAACATTTTCTTTATCTCCGCTGTCATCAATATCCATTTCCTCTTCTTCTTCCTCTTCACCTTCAAGATCTCTCATAAGCTCTGCAACATCAATAACATCAGGTCCTTGATCTACCACAACCTTTTCCTGCTCTGCTTCTTTGGGTATGAAGTGAGTGTGGGTCTGAGCTTTTGTGTTTTTCGGAAATATTGTTTCAATAAACCCATCAGCTGCATTTACCAGAAGAACTCGATCTTTTGGCTTGATTGATTTCAACTTCTTCAATAATTTCCCTTTCATACCCTTCATTTTATCTTTTGTTTCTTCTTCTTCCCTACAATTTTGGTTTGAATTACTCGATTATAGATATGGAACAAGTTTTGATCTGATCCTTTGTTTCTGGTGAGAGAGAGCGACTGGCTTTTCAAGCTCAACGGCTATAAAGCTGTTATTTTAACTTTTAAAATTTTAAAAATGTGAAGTGGGGACCGGGGAACAATCTCATGGAACTGGACACAGAGAATTCTATCTAGATCATTTCAACGTGATAAAAAAATTATTTTAGTGGAAAATCAAATAGGTGGTACCATAGGATAGTTCACACGGGAAAATGGTAGATAGACACGTGGGTACAAAGTCTACGCAGGCAACGGTCATAATTCTTTAGGTGGGCCTGTAACACCTTTCACTACAGTATATTCATAATTCTAATTGGGTTCCCACCTTGCTATCTTTTTTAAAAATAAAATTTTAAAATAGCTTAAAAAGAAAAGCTCCAGAAAGCTAGCACCATAAAATAATAATTAGGGCCCATATAGAATTTATCCTGTTTTGTGTTTGTATTATTGCTCAATTTGGAAAACTATGCTTTTCCTTTTAATGATTTTATACGTTAATAATAATTTTTCTAAGTAATACAAGTAAACATGCTCAAAGTGAGATTTTTCTTTTTTTTTCAAACTAACTCCACCAATTTATAAGGATCAAAGATAATATTTGAAAAAAAAAACTTTACACAAATTTGCAGAGATTATAGCTTCATTCGAAGCATATTATATTATTGTATGCCTATTGTAAAGTATTATTATTATTATTATTATTATTATTATTGGTCTTTTATATGACGTGCGTTGCATGTTGACTATACTCGTTATATTTATTATTATTGGTCTTTTTATATGACGTGCGTTGCCATGTTTGACTATACTCGTTATATATTCATTTTTTTATCTATATAATATTAAAGCATAAATTTTATTTAGATTAAAATAAATACAAGTGGTTAATTTGTATTACATTTTGTCGAACAAACTACTTGCAATATTACTTCTTATATATTTCATTCTATTTTTATATAATGAAATGGTCTTAGAATAAAGTTCAACATCATCTCTAGACCTAATCTTTTAGTTCCTAAATCAAGTCATCATTCAATCTTCAATCCCCTGCCCCAACCTCAAATCAATATCTATATACCACTATAAGGAAAAATAATAATAACTTATTTTTTACTGCTAGGTAAAAGAAAAAAAATGAGAAGATGATATGAATTCATAATGGAAATCACTTTGGTTACAGTCACAGTATTACTTATCCAGTGTACCAGAAAAAGGAATATATACACATATAAAGGAATATATACACATATACACAAATTCTAGTTTTTTTTTTTTTTCTAGTTTCCTAAATATTATTTTCTTTTAAGTCAAACAGATTTAGGATAAAAGAGAAAAAATATCAAAAAAATTAAAAATGTTTAATCATCAATAGATCATCTATTTATTTATTACAAGGGAGATATAAATATCTTACTAAATTAAAATGATAATAGTTACAAATTATTTAGTGACGAAAAAGAAAATAAAAAATTATTATTAAGAATGAAACTCTTTCAAAACTCACCTAACAAAAAAACATTTCAATGTATATAGATATATTAATACATCAAATAAATTATTATATTTTTTTTTAAATTAAAATTTTCACTGTTTACCATGCTTAGGTTTAATTTATATAAATTTTATTTTAAATTTACTTTTTAAAAAATATATCCAATCATCTTTATAACATAAGAAAAATATTAAATAAAATAATATACTTTTTTTTCTTATTTTTTTTACTCTCTCTGCCTAAATAAGATATTAATATATCTACTTGAAAATTTTTATTTTTAAAAAAAATATATATCCAATTAAATCATGGTAAACGAAAAGAAATAATAATTTTTTATCTAAAATCCTTAAGAATGAAATATTTATAAATAAATTATAATATTTTCAATGTCTCTTTATCATATAATATATATATATATATATATATAATATATAGTATATATATATAAAAAATTTAGTAAAGATAAAATTTAAAATTTTAAAATGCGTAATTATTTATATGTATTTATTTATAAGATAGTTTTTTTATTCATTGAGAGGCCTGATAGGCCGAAACAATAGTGGGGGCTACAAAATAAATAATAACTGTCCACTCACCAAATTGGTGAAAATACTCGTGGTTGAGAGCATTCGAACTCAAGACCTCTCACTTCTCACATAAATGAGAAGACAATCATATCACAAATGATTGGTTTAAAAAATAATTTTTATAAATATATTCAATCAACTAATAAAATGTTATTTTCTAATTGGCTACGATCAAGGTTGTTTTAGGATATCATAAATTACATCAAGGGCGTTTGTTGCGTCTCTTTTGAGTACCCGCAAGTATATGGATTGCAATGTAGTAATAAAAAGAACGATCCCAGTAGGAACGGGTTATGTTCACTCTACTACTTATTCTTAACACTTATGTTTACAGCAATAAAATATGAAATAATTTAAACTATAATCCTATTTAAAATATAATTAAATATACTACTTAATTCTATAAATATACTACTTAATTCTATAGATAAAGATATAGTATAATACTTAGAAGAATTGATCATGCATTAGATTTTCTTTTTCTATAGCAAAATGTGTAACATACAATAAACGATTCTTTAATCACATATGGTCAAGTATAATTCAACCTCTCGGTACAGAATTACTCTTTTTATTATATGTATCTCTATATACAACAAATGCCTTACTTTATCAAATATTAAGCCTAGTTCTCATTCTTTGATTATTTCAATAAGTTAGACTTAACTTTGACAAACCAAGTTAAAGATTCACATGCAAACCCAACTAAATGAATTCTATCTCTTGATCTTTACTGAATTATTTCTTTATCTGAGAATATAATTAAGTAAAGCTTGATTAAACATAGACAAAAAGATAACTTTAAAAAACTTTTACTGAATGAAACCAAATAATATTGTTGCTTTGCAGCAGTAAAAATTATGAAGCACAACATGCAAAAAGTCTTTAATAAAACAAGAGAAAGATAGAAGTAATCAAACTTCAAGCCTCCGGAGGATGCAACCTCGAGAAACTCTTTGATGTTCTTTGCACAAACAATGTCACACCTCGAGAAACTCTTGGATGTTCTTTGCACAAACAATAATAAGTGACTCTCGTCATCTTATTTCTAAGTACTACTTTATTATTTTCTACTATATTCTAATAGTACATTTTGCATATTGCATTATGCATATTGCATAATTTCCTCTTGATTTGGACTTCAATTTATAGAAGAGGAAGATGATGGCAGTTATGAAGGTGGTTGGCTGGCCAAAAGGTGCCTCAGGTGACTTCACTTGGGAAAAGTCCCGACCTATGCATGGGAAGACATGATTTTCTGGTGAAAGGTGGCAAGTGCGTCTCCTGGAAACACGATTTGTGCTCGCGAGTTTCAAGGTCGCGCTCGCGATCTTTACTTATAAAATCTCTACCTCTTCTGGAGTGCTTTTCGCACTCGCGCAATTGAATGTCGCGCTCGCGACTTTTGCTTGTAAACTTTCCAATGCGACCTCATTCGCGTCGCAAATTCTGCTAGGCAGGTTCTTCCATACTTTAGTCAACTTTTGGTCATCTTTTTCTATAAAAGTAAGCCTTTTCATTCCTTTGCTCATATTGTATTCCTATAATCACTTTAAAACAAAAAGACAACATGAGCAAACGTAAAATGTATAAAAACAACATGCAATCATTCAAATTACATGAAAATAACATAACAAAATTGCCCGCTTTGGGAGGCTATCAGCGTTATTGGAAATTCTCCCCTACTTCCACATTATATATAGTATATATTATTATTATTATTATTATTATTATTATTAGGCAAATTTATAATTACTTATATCGAAATACAATTCCCTCTTCCTATTTTTTTTTATCAGCAATCAGTAAATTTTATTGAAACGATAACTGAAAATCTTGGCAACTAATAATTATACCCTAGCCAAAAGGCCAACCCATTGCACCCACACCTACAACTCAAAATGCCAAGAAAAAAAGTATCACAATAAGACAAAACAATAAATAGGTCAACCCAGTATAACATCTCTTAAGGCACGAACTGGAACCTCGTCTTGCTTTTTAAGAAATGCTTTTTGAAATTTATACATTTCATTATATCCTTACTTTTAATTCTTTCATCCAATTTTGTCCAAAATTTATGTCCATCAACTGAAAAAATGAGGAAAAAATTATAATTATGTACCTACATATATTAAAATACAACTACCTTCATCTCTGCTTTTTTTAAAAATGTCTTTTGAAGTCTACATATTTTCATTTCGTCTAAGTTTTGGTCCTTCCATCCAATTTAGTGTGTTAAAAATAAATACAAAATGATTTAAATAACCTTACTATTTTTATTTGAAGTAATTTTCTCTCTCTTCAATAACTTTAGTTTCATCCCTTCTCTCTCTCTTATTCTTTTTGTTCAAACTCAAACTCACATACTTCTTCAAGATGGATTTGATTTCAAGGAAGCAATTTGAAGTGATTTGAAATGGGTTTTGAAGGAAATGAGTCTTCTTTACTGCAATTTGCACTAGTTTCTTCAAAATGGAAATGAGTCTTCTGCAAAATTAAATGGTATGAGATGAAACAACAGATCTAAAACTCACAGGTTTACTAAAATTCAACAAATTTCATTGTCATGATCTTTTATAGATATTGTTAACTATTAAAAATTAGGTTTAGATTGTTTAATTTTCTTGACCCTTTTTTAGAGCTGGTTAGAAGTATTTATATTAGAAAAAGACTAGTTATGTCTGGATAAGGATAGCGGAGATCTTACGGTATCTGTTAGTTAGAAATTATTTAGAAATCTAATATCTCTCAATACATATTTATATATTATTCTTTGGTATATTTTATTATTATATATTATCAGCAGTCTCCCAAAAGAATTTGGTCATTTATGTTCAACACATATTATAGTAAGTTCATAGGTGAATTACTTAAACTTGAATGGATGAACTACTTAAGTCCGAATAGTTGAGCTGCTTAAGTTCGAATAAGTGAGCGTCTTAAGTTCCTTTTATGTGTTAAGTTGCTTAAGCTCGTAAAGGTGGATTGATTAAGTTC